GTGGGGGGGTGTTGATTGGCTTTGTAACAGCTCTGGCAGCACACAACACACAAACATAAATCCTGTACCTTCAAAGTGTGTGGGAGGAGGTTTGCTGCAGCGCCGCTGAAGGAAAGAGGTTTAAGGAGATTGAGAAAGGAGGAGGAAGGAGGGAAGGGAAGGCAGGTGGGTGAAAGGATGACTCACCGCTGACGCCGAGTCTGAGATGAAGACGGACGTCTAACAAAAGTTCGAACATGCTGGGAGGGAACATGGCAGGGAAGGAGTGAGGAATATGATGACTGATGGCTCCTTTCATCATCAGGGTTGTGATACACAGGCAGGAAACAGGAAGCTGCACCACTTCTACAATGTTGTTCATCTTATACTACTACAGTTCCTAAACTATCAACATTAAAGATAGAAAAGTTATCTTTAGCTGAAAAAGGTTTATTTTAGTAATTTAACAGATATACTGATGTATAATTTTGATTCGGAGATTCATGCTTAGCATATATGACCAGAGCGTCAATGCACCAGATCAAATTTATTGTTTTAGGTGGGAGCCTGGGGGTGGGGGAGTGAGGAGGGGGGTCTCATTGGTGGGCCCAATGGATAGCCCTTCATCAGAGCTAAACAACAACAAAAATCTGAAGCTCCTATGTTGAATAGTTTTTAAGTTATAGGCATTTTTGAATGTTCAAACACCCTCTTTTTAGATGGAGCCCCCTCCTCAAATATRGGGTCTATTGTAAAACCACTGGCTGGTGCAGTGTAGGTCGGAAACATCTGCTGACGTGGATTGGTGCAGCCGTTTCCATGCTACAGTTGACCACAGATCTTCAAGGAATGAATAGAAGCAAAAATTAGTCACTAAAAACCTTTGAAGGACGACCAAAATAAATTTAGTAATTATGCATAATATAAAAGTATGGTTTTGTTTGCTCTGCAGTTTTATTAAGCTTCTGTTTCCTGTCTTTGTGTAAAAAATAAAATTCAGAAAAAATAAAAACATGTTTTTGTTGACATGTGCTAGTTCCATCTTTTGCCTGTGTATCACGACCTGCAGGTTCAGTTACTAAATACACACTAAAAAGCAAACTGTGTATAGAAATTTATATTTCAGATGAATTATTGTATGAATTCTTCCGTCCTTTCTTCTACAATCTTCTATTTCTTTGTGGAATTTTAGCTGAAGATGTTTTTGGAATGAATGTTTTATCATTTCAGGAATAAAACTGAGACATTTCAGGTTTTGAGCTACGAAAGTTATGATTTTTCCTTAAACAGTCTCTGTCTGTGGAGATTAACAGTACAATCAAAGTGAAAGACTTGGAGTTTTATTGTCTAAATGCAACGATAGAATATCATTAACACCTGTTAAGACTACTTTTTGCTTTGAATGAGCATATTAAAAAAAGACTGTTGATTATAAGTACCAAAACTTATTGAAACACAGAATGTTGGTGTAATTACCTTCCAAGTTGTGGCACAACACCCACTCCAGGATATACACGACTGTTGCACGAGTTTCTGTTTGACAGAATAAACTCACCTGAGGAAAATATATTCACATTTGAGCCATTGTGCTTCCCAAATTGACTTTTTAAATTTATTTATTTATTGTCGGAATCTTTCCCAGATATTGAAAACACATTTCATTGACTGAAATAATGAAAATACTACTGGGATCACTCTGTTTCTGACAAAATTATACAGGTTTTCATCCTGTTTCTTTTTTTGTTTTAGTGATTGCTTTATGTAGCAACAAACAAGCGCACATTAAGGCCTCGTTCGTAGCAATTATTTTTTACTTATGTGAGAAAATGTGATGCTTACTAGCCGAACTGCTTAAATAAAAGCATTGTAGCAAATTATTTGCGGTGTCAGTGGCACAGTTCACGATTCTTTATTGTTAGAATAAAAACTTTAAATGCTGATAATAAGGGTTTTTGCAGAGATTTATTTAGTTTAGTTTTTTTTTTTTTAATTGCCAAAGTTAAAAATAAATGCTTATGAGTACATGAATAATAAAATAAGCTACACAGGCTCAGAAAGTTTTATGTATTTATGTAGCTGACCTCAAAGATATTATGTCTTCATCCAACCATCTAAACCAGCAAGTTTTGTTTGAAGACAAAGAAACTGAGCATTTATTTAAACTGTGATCTGGGTGTAAATATTCTGGCTGTCTTCAGGCTGTGTTTACAGAAAAGGAAATGAACGTTTAATTTCAGGCCTGGAGTCAGTTATTTTGGACTCAGTGTGTGTTATGTAATAATTACTGAGGTTGTTTCAGTGCTGATCTTTTTGTTTTCACCATGCTTGGAGGTTTGCAGGATTATTTGCCAGCAGTGTTAACTTTTTAAAACCAATAAAACTTGCCTGGGCGCAGACTCTTATTTTGCTTATTTGCTGAACAGAAAGATTTAATAGGTTTGCTTAAACTTGAATAGTTATTTGAGGATTTTTTGTGCTTAATTCAGAAAGTATGGGATAGCATAGCAGCTTATGATGCAAATTAAAAATGCCTGTTATTAAAATGAAAAAAAAATAAAGACAGTATTGTATTATCTCTTTAAGAGGTTTGTTTTTATTTTGCATGTTCAAACATTTGAAGAGGACACAATTTCCAAAAGTAAAAGTTTGAATATGGTTGTTTGAAAACCTGAGTCATATTTTCCTGTATATTTCTCCTAATCCCKGATCAAAAATGCACGATTATGTTAATATCCCACATTTAAGTTAAAACATTAGTTACAAACAGATACATCAGACCTTCTCCTAGTTTATATTACTCAAAATTCATGCTTTTTCTAATGTATTTAATCTGAGAGCCTGTGTTTCAAATTTATTAGTAAAAAAATCACAGTGAGTCCCGAAATGATTAGCTCAAATACATATTTGCATGATTTGATAGCAGCACTTGTGTAACAATTGCACATTGACACATTACGATGAATTATCAGAGAATGACTCAATCATTGCATAAGACAGTTTCTCACTCAGTCATTTTGATACTATGTGTTTTCAGACATTCACACATTTAAAGTGTAAGTTGTTGTATTTATTCAGCTGTTTAATGTTTTCTTTCATAAATGTATTAATCAGRGTGTTTATTTGAGATGAAGGCAGCTCTGGAGTCTGTATTTTTTCTCCTTGAAATGACTGCACTCAGTCTGTTCTGTGAACTTTGCTGAAGATAAGCTTGAATCAGAGGAGCTTTTCCTGACCTCAAAGGTGCTAAAAGTTAATAGGAGATTGAGTGAAATATCCCTCAGTCCTGCTTTCAAACAGCTGCCTGAGAAACAGGCTTATCGGCACAAGCGAGGGCCTGCAACATGAGGGATTTGAGACCAAACAAATCCCAGACTTTCCCTGGTCCAGTTTTATTTTCAACCACCTTATTAATCCTGTCTGATYGCATATAACTGGTCTGACACTAATTATAAAGTTTGAAACTTCCTCTCAGAACTCGAGCTCTTGTGGAAGTGAGACTGACGTAACTTGGTGTGAGCGGCAGGAACCAGCTCTTCTCACCAGAGGAGAGGTTTGGGGAATTAACAGGACAAATTCAGTATTTTTTTTTAAAGCGACAGGAGGGAAACGGCTGCAGCAGAAGTTTCAGATTTCAATTTAACCTCAATTAAGATCAGATGTGTTGGAATAAAACTAGACACTGCAAAGCAGTAGCAAACATGATCCTTACGTGTACACAAAGCACCAACGCACCAGAACTCACCAGAACAGATTTATTATTTGGATGGGGGTTGGGGGGGCTCATTGGTGACCCCGATGGATAGCCCTTCATCAGAGGTAAATGAAAAAATAAAAATTTTAAAAAAATCTGAAACTCCTACATTGCATAGATTTTCACTTATAAGCATTTTTGTGTGTCCAGACACCAACTTTTCAGATGGGGGGGGGG